CACCTGTGTCTATTTTGCAATTGTCTTAGAACTCTGAAAGGAGGGGCATATGACTAATTGGAACTTTCAAAACCACACACCTGTTCCAATAAAGGTGGTTTTATTCTTTAGTCAGTTGTACTGTATAAGTGGGGGGAAGGGAGAAGAAAGAGAGACTGATATATATAGAGAGGCCTGGTGCATGAAATTCGTACATGGGGGGGAGGGTCCTTTAGCTCAGCCTGCACCCTCTGTAATCTGGGACCCCTTAGGGGATGTCCAACTGCTGGTTTAGGCCCCATCCTGCCAGCAGTTGGACATCCCTCTTGCAATCTGGGACTGCTGGCTCCTAACCGCTGGCCTGCCTGTCTGATTGCCCCTAACCCCTCTGCTTGCCAGCCTGATCACCCCTAACTGCCCTCCCCTGCCAGCCTGATCACTCCTAACTGCCCTCCCCTGCTGGCCTGATTGCCTGCCCCCCTGCCGCCTGGTCACCCCCTAACTGCCCCCCTGCTGGCCTGGTTGCCCCCTAAGTGCCCCCCTGCCAGCCTGGTTGCCCCCTAACTGTCCAGAAGGAAATCAGATGTCTGGAAGATGTCCAGTCAACTCGGCCTAATGAGCCTATTACCCTTTTATTAGTATAGATAAGCTTTTATTAACCAGTATGTTAAATGATTCTCTGATTGTGCTAGCTCTGTAGTTTAAAACTTAACAAAAATAAAATGAAGGAACGAATAGCATCATTTCTAAGTTCTTGGCTAATAAAACAAACAAAACAATAAATATTCTAATTACGTTGATCAGAATAACCATTAATTCTTGTTTTAAATGCTTTTGGGAATTTATCTTATTATCTTTTTCTTCTTTAGGTTATAGTTTATAAGATTTTTGGATTTCATGTATCAGTTTCCCAGGTGGATTTTTGATAATGGAATGCATTTATTTCTATTAATTAGTAGACTGTGTGTGTGTGTGGCTTGGAAAAGGATGTAGAGGCTAAATTACTCAAGATCTTAACTAGTAATAATAACTAGCACTTACTGGTAACACTCTGTTGCAAGTAATTTTAATACAACATGTTTATTTTTCAAAACAAACCTAAGAAGGTACACCATTATGATCACTTTATATACAAGGAAAACTAGACACAGAGGCTAGTGACCTTTCTAAGTTCCCAGACTTAGTGAGTAACACAACTGAGATCTGAGCTTCAGCCAATTTGGCATAAAAAGTATGGTCCATGTGCAGTATTATCAGCATCATCTGGGAGCTTATTACAAATGTAAAAACACAGGCGCCAACACAACCCAGATCTACAGAACCTGCATTTTTACAAAGACCCAGAGCTGGTTCCTGAGCACCTTCAAGGTAGAAGAGATGGGCTATATAATTCACTGTGCTACTTCTCCTTAACCTGGAGAAGGAATCTGGTTATTATTGGAAGGCCTGTAGAGAGTCAGGGAAAGGTTTGAAGTAAGAGGTTGGCAAAATCAAATGTTTTTAGACCAGTAGTTGTTTTAGGTCAATCACTCTGGCTTCAATATGCGGAATGCAGAAGAGGGCAATTCTGGATGCAGGGAGGCCAGTGAAAAGCTACTCTTAGACAAGTAAAGGGAGATGGCAGCCTGAAATAGGGCGGTGGCAGTGACAAAGGAAAAAAGTAGGTGAATATACAAGGGTGCCTCGCAGAACTTAGAGATTCTTTGGATATGTGATTGAGAGAGAAGAGTTAGTTCATCCCAAGTTTCTGGTTGCATTGTGGTGCCATTTACTATACAAGAATATACTTGAAAGAAGTAGGGTGGGGAATAGGAGAAGGAAATAATGAAATTACTTTTAGATTTAAAAAATGGTAACATTTGTGAAGACTGAGGGACAACCAAGTAGAGCTGTTCAGCTGGGAGCTAAAGAGATGGGGCAGAGAAACCATATAAGTTACTTGGGCATTTTGGAAGGGGTCCTATGGAAAATTCCATGTCAAAAATTTTACCTGGCCCAGCCAGGGTAGCTCAGTGGTTGAGTGTCTACCTATAAACCAGAAGAAGGTCATGGTTCAATTCCCAGTAAGGGCATATGCCTGGGTTATGGGCTCGATCCCCAGTGTGGGGCCAATACCCAGTGTTAGACATGCAAGAGGCAGCTGATCAATGATTCTCTCTCATCATTGATGTTTCTATCTCTCTCTCCTGCTCCCTTCCTCTCTGAAATCAATAAAAACATTTACCTGGTTTGTCTCTGATATTCCCCCTCCCCGCCCCCTTCCTCTTATATTCACTGGTATACAAACCTGCTCTGAGCAGTCCTGTACTCAGCAGAGTTAGATTTGTAGCTCAGAAAAGACAGAGATAAAACTTTTGGATTCATAAGCATATGGAATGGATGATAAGTGAAGCAATGCAATTGCCAAGCAAGAGAAAAGGAGTCTAGAAAGTAGGGGAGTAGGGGACTCTGCAAAACAAACTGAGAATAGTGGTCCAAGAGGTGGAGGAAACCTGGGAGTTTGTTATCATGGGAATCCTGGGTAAAGTGTGTTTCCAGGTGGGGAAAGTAGAGAATAGGGTAAAATGCTTTTGAGACACCAAGTCGATAGAGAATGAGGAATGGCTGCTGGACTTAGCAATGCACTAGTAATTGATGATCTCAATGAGCACCGAGGGAAACTGATGAGGACTAAAGCCAGAGTGCAGTAGATTGAGAAGTGTGGGCTGAGGAAGGGGAGGTTCTTCAAGAGATTCATCCGTGAGGCTGAGGAATGAGGGTCACTGGAGCTCAATAACGGAGATGCTTTTCAAGATAGGAAATTTTGAACACGGTTAAATGCTGATGGAAGGAGATAATACAGAAGGAAAAATGAGAGACTGTGATCCCTGAAGTGGAGGGTATAAGATAATGGGCATTCGTTTAGATCTTCCCTTCTGTCTTCCAATCCACTATTAGGTGGGCACAGGGATTCAGGAGGATGGCCAGAGAAACAGGGAGATCTGCTGCAGCCATCCTTTCCACGTTCTGGGGTCTTTAGAGGCTTAACACTCTCACCTTCCATTCTAAGCCTTGTTTTGCTACTTGAATCTTCCACTGTTCTTCCCATGACATGCCCAGAACAAGGGTAACCATGAATTAGATCAGGACCTGCTTTGAAAGTTAACCTTTGAACTTCATCTTCAGCTATAATTCTTGCCTAAACCTTACCTGTACTCAGGTGAGGAAAGTTTAGAGAAACAGCTTAGGCATATACTCCCTCCCCAGGCCTTTTGGCAAGTTGGTGAACCCACTGCCCCAGGATGTTTGAAGCTGAGTTGTATGGCTTCATGGAGAATAGTGGTTCATGATAAGGACGGCAGAGAATACTCAAGGACAGATTTCAGGAGTCTCTCAATGCCAGAAATGCCACTGAAATATCTATTTGCAATGGACTTTTCTGAGAAGAGGGTCCATTGATCCTATTGAGATCTATAATCCCAAAGATGTGGGGGTAGATAAAATGCTCAAGCTGATCATTTTGGAGGGATTCAAGATATTATGGCAGGAAGAGGTTTCCTCCCTCTCCCCTCTTCCCCTCCTCCAGCCCTCTCAGGGTACCAAAAGGTACAGAAAAATGATGATAATCAGACAGGAAAAAGACAATTTACAAGAACATGGAAATGCAAGATTGTTTAACTGACATCTGACTCAGAGCTTCCCATGTGAACCCAAGTATTTGGTTTTCAATTTTAAAGAGATCATGTTTCCTAGATTGAAAACAAATCAAGGTTTCTCTAACATATTCTAGAAAACCATTTATTTTCAATATTATATAGTAGAAAGTTATTGGGCTTGTCTAAGGAACCCAAATTAATCCAGCTTTACTCAAAATGTTGTTGGCAAGTATAATAAAAATAAGAAGTAAACTTGTCAGTGAGGTGATGTTGCATTAAAGCAAAAGTCTCTGCTCTTGTTTAGGTAGAACGGCCCCAGAATTGGCAACTAATGATAACATGTGGGAATAAATAGAGCAAGTGTAGAAAACAGACATCAGCGTTTACCTTTTCCATCAAGCAATTTGGATTCTGGATTTAGGCATAAATCACAATAAATATGTTAAGAATTCTCTTGTATGACATATGTTTGCAATATTTGTGTTGTATTTTAATCCATATACTTTGCTAATAAAAATGCTAGAATGCCATATTATGGATATGAAATGAAGGCTAAAATGACTGAAGGGTTTTTTTTACACATTTTACTTATGAGAATTATGCATTTTATTAATGACTTTTTTTTTCTTTTAGTTTTCACAATCCTGAAACCCAAATTGACAACTGAGAAGCTGCATTTGGTTTTCAAATGGATGACAGACATGAAAGAGGGTCTGACTAAAATAGTGGAGGAGGAAGCATAAACATGGGATACATGCTTTTGCTTAAGTAACTCTATCTCAGTTTCAAGAAGCAATGCTTTAGATACATGAAGCATATTATATATGTGTGGGCTAGACACACAGACATTTTAATTTAATCTTAGAACACCTAAAATTAGGAATCGTCTCTATGCCTGTTACTGGAAAGTAGGCAGATTTTTCTTGAAAATAGGAATCGCACTTAAAATATGTAAAGGACTTCAAAGTGTGCTCTGGACATATAAATCCACCATAAACCTCAGTGATAAAATTAGTCATTCAAATAAATGAAGTCAAATGAAACCCGCCACCCCTTTATGACAATGAAACTATGCCTCGTGAATAAAGACTATTTTCAGAACTCAGGAGGCAGCTCCAAAGAGTTAGCTGGACACTATGTTGCTTCCACATGCATATCATCAAAATGAGAAATCTGAACAGCTCAGCATATAAAGTTAGATAACTGTTGGCTCAAATGGCTTTTAAAAAGTTTCTAAGAAACTTCAAGATCTATACTTATCTGCCAAGTATAAGTTTTCTCTTATGCAGTCACTAGAAAGTTTATAGGAATTTCTTGTACTTAAGAAGCCAAAACACCACATAAAAAACATGTAGGAAACATTAAGGGAAAGAAAACAAAACTTACTTTCTCTTAAAGCTGCTTCTTCCTGCAATTTAAACAGTATGAAAGGAGACAATAAGATGATTGTTTTTCTTCCAGCGCATTCATAGATCAACTCCAAAAGGAACAGAAGGAGCCACCAGAGCTATCTGAGTGTCCCTCCCAACTGCAGCTTTTTCAACTTTGTAGAAGAAAATAGGAGGGTTAAATGGGTTTCCTCCAAGTCTGGTGACGTGCACATAGCTGACTCCTACTGGGCTGCAAAAGCATTCCTTGTCAATTTTTATTTAAAATTACGAGTAACAAGTTCTGTGCAGGACATCCTTAAAGGGCAATCCTGGATTCGTATGTGAAGTAGGATCTGGATAAGCTCCAAAAAGTTTAAGTTACAAACCGCACATACACACTCAAGAAATTCTCACTGCCTAGGCTAAATTAAGGGCACATTCACATTTTAAAAGTTTCTAAAAGGATAATGTATTTTCTGTTTCTTTGATTAATCTGTTTTGTTGGTTCTCTTTCCTGGTGACTAACAGAACCCTTGTTTTACATTAGAAATGGCTGAACCACAGAGCTTTCTTGTTCTTACCTGAAGAGTTGGTAACTTGAGATGAGCCTTTCGTTGTGGCCTCTATCACTGTCTTCTTGGGAAATCTGGGAACTCCAAGCCTTGAATTTGATAGAGTAACTCAAGGTTGTTACCTGCTTCCTGCACCTGCAGCGTGGACTGAGCTTTCCCTGTTTCTGCCTACATCCCTATGAGCTGGCAGCGATTGTTATGTCATGTTCATTTAAGCACAGGCTCATTTGGCTTTTTGAAATCTTCAATTCAAAACATGAAAAGTGGCAAGAAATTTCAAGAACTGAATTTAAAGAAATGTTTGAATATTGAAGTAATCCATAACAGGAATTCTTAGTGGGTCAAACTGACTCACAAAGCAAGTGGCATTTGCTCCTAGAATCTCCATTGGAGGCCATTTCTTTGGTTTGCAAGGTGGGGTAAGAAATATTCTGCCTTAATTACATTTATTCCCAGACCAAACTTAAACTGTCCTTGTTTTAAGTGCTAAAGGAATGATGTTAATATTTCCTGAGGTCAAACTCAGGTATGTACAAAAAAAAAAAAAAAAAAAATTAAAAAAAAACTTGAGCTAGGGAAAGGACACAAGAGCATTCAATTAGTAATAGATTTTAATCCTCATGATACTACTAACCAGGCATTATTTTTCTCCTTTCATAAATGAGGAAGTGGAGTCTGGGATATAAAAAATGCCTAAGTTCCCATCTAGTTATGGGGCCATTACTGTCTTTGTTTACACTATGCTTCCTGAGAGGGTAATCTACATTCATTGATTCAACTTCTGATCTTCCTGTTGCTCCTCAAGCTATTGCAATCTATCTTCCAATTGAACCACTTCACAAAAAAATGCTTCATTAAGCTCATAAATGATATTAACACCCCAAAGAGCACTGTTTTTCATCTTGCCAGAAATTTCTCATCTCTGGCTATGTTTCTTTTTGAAATTCTCTTCCTTTGGTTTACTAAGTTATATATTTTTTTATTTCCTCCTAGCTCTTAGATACTCAGGCTCCCCCCGCTTTATTCACCTCATCATTGCCCAGAGCTTCAACCTCAGTTCAGAATGCTTCTTTGTACACCCTCCATGGGTTGTGACAACAACAAACAATTATGTATTATGACTCCCAAACTGTTATTACTCTCTGTTCTCAACTGTTACCTCTCAAAGATTCTAGGCCTGTATCCTGTTATCTATTGGACATCTTTGTTTAGAGATTCCCAGGCATCTCAAACTCAGTCCCAGATAAACCCCTTCATCTTCTCCCCACTTGTTAGTCTGATGCTGAAATCTAGCTCAATGAAAAGGCTTACTAAGGTAAAATGGTTCATGAATGGCAAAGTTTCAAGGAATGAAGGACACTGAGGACTATGAAACTATTTTTATATAAGAGGAATATAGTAAACTACTTTTAAAATGTTCAGAATAATAGTTAAAAATGTACATATAATATATGCATTAATTAAACTAGTAATACTGAAAATATTAGAAGCTTCAAAATACCATATTTAATAGAAACAACAGGCAACTTTATTTTAAATAAGATTCTTAAATTCCCATGAAGATCATAGTAGATAAACATTTAACAATTTAATTTTATTAACAAATTAGATTTTTACATTAAAAATCAGCCATATAATTTATTTACATAAACAAAGCTGTTCTTATTTACTATGAAAAAATAAGAGCTATTTTGAAAAATGAAAAATATTTAATGCCAACAAAATAAGAATAATTTTTTTATTTGCTTCATTTTATCTTTTATTTTCAAAAATTAAGGTATTCTATTTTCACAAACTATTCTCTAGTTTGACAAAAACAAAGATTACTTTGGTATCTACTGAAACATAAATTATAAAGTTCTTAAGCAAAGACTGAATAAAAAATTTTGTTGGGTGCTCAATATTTTGAAAGCCGAATAAGCACATAAAACTAACTGGAGTTTGTGGTGAGAGGATTTTCATTTTTCTGAAAATACATTAATAAAAAAATGCCAATGGAAAAACATTTTAAAATTTACATTACATTCCTATCAACATTAATAGTCTGTAATATTTAATTCCTTTTACTCAGTTACTAACACTTCGTCTAGAATTAGAGTAGAGGTAGGCAGACTGATCTTTGTATTCAAACATTTTAAAACATAGAGTTTTAAATGCCACACAAGGAATTATATACAACAGTATTTTTTAATATTTGAGATTTAATTTACTATTATATTCAAAATAAATTCCTTTTGATATATAACAAATTGTTGCTTAGATTGATTACTCCAAGGAACTATTTTAGTTTTAATTAGCTTGATTAATTTAATTAGTTTTAACTACTAATAATCTTTAGAAAAACAAGAATACCTACTTCTTTATAAGGGTTTATATTTTTATTTTTTAAAAAGCTTGCAATGATGTAAATACACTTAGAAATCTCTCCACAACAAAGCATTAGTTGCTACAGTGACTACTGATTAAAGAAATGACATTTAGAAATGCAAAATGGATTAATGCCAAATGGAAAAAATATTTGCGTAACACTTTTAGTTATTCCATTGGTAAATTATGACATACCTATTAGCAGCAAGTTTTATTCTTACTTTTGTTAGCATCTTGTTTTAGAATAGAACACAGGAACGCATGGGTCACTCAGATGTTCTTCCGCTGTAAAAGCATCCCTAACGATTCCAACCGCATAACAGTTCACTCCTGTGGGAAGATGGAAGAACCTCTATCTGCCAGAAATAAGAGCAAGGGCTCAGCAATAAAAAAATATTTTGCAAATTTCTGTATGTTATTTTTGAAGCATTTTATATTGACTTTAAAGTAAAATACACAATTTTCATTTTTGACAGCAGAGGGATATTTTTCTTTTTAAAAAAACATGACCACATTTAAAATTTTTGCCTATAATGTAAAAATATGATGATGTCACTAGAAATATAACACAACAAATGAGCCCTTTCCTAGAAATTAAAGACATCAGAAAATTTATTCTTCATTCAGTACACGGAAATAAAATAAATGTATAATTTTTAGAATTATAATGTCTAAAGAAATCTTCCATGGAGAACTCAATTTACAAAAATTCACATTTTTATAAAATTTACAATGAATACAACAGTACTGTTTTAACTAAATTGTGGGCTAATGGGAGATTGGAGATTGTGAAATAAACATTATTTATAACTCAGCAATAACTTTGGGGAAAAACATTTACTACATGGCAAAAGTAAATTAAGTTCATTACTCTTCTGTCATAGATGATTTCCTGGATTTGAGAACAAGGTCTTTAATGGATGAAGAAAGTTCTTGAAGCTCTTTCCGAGTAGTACTGGTGCTATCTTCTTCTTCATTGTCTAATTCATTACTCAAGGGATCCTCTTCCTGCCCAGTCTTCTTATTTTGATGAACTAAATGCTTTACAACCAATCCTTGATACTTTACCAAAAGTGTATGCTGGTCCTGTGAACAGAGAAAGGAGAAGAAAAGCTAACAAACATGATTTAATTTTTGTGGAACAAAGTGGGATTTGTTCAACCAATACACACTGAAGGTCTTCATCTTTACAAATCCCTGGCCATGTAAATAGAAAGCTGAATGTACCAAGGTCCTTGCTCTCAAGGAGTTTATATTTTAGGAGACAGAAAACACAAATGCAGGTTATTTTAATAGTTGATTTGGCTCGGTTCTATCACCAAAGATATAGTCAAAGTGATATGGAAGTTCAAAGAAGCCAAAATTACTTTTAGTTGAGGAGTTTCTCAGAAGAATTTATGCAGAATTTATGAAGAATTTTAAGGGGCCCTTGAAGGGCAGGTTAAACCTGAATAAGCTGAAATGAAAGACTGAACATTATTATGTCTTTTCCAAAAGCTTAATTTCCAAATTCAGAATATTCTTTACCATGGATCAGATAGGATCCTAAAAGAGTATCCTTAAAATCAATCTCCTAATTCATTGTTTGCATTTGTGGAAACAGGAAGATGATGTTATATGTCTTGGTGTTCACAATGATTCACATCTATCCATTAAAAATATTTGCAACCTAAAAGCTTTAATAGTTCCAAGTGCATGGAAAATGTAATACCTCTGGAATTTTACTCTTAAGAAGAGCGATGATCTGTGGGACACATCTTCCAGGTGCATGGAGCATGCTGTGGGTTGAGGACTGAAACAACAGGACTGAAGTGAGGTGCAGGATAAGAGCAGGGTCTTCTGTGACTTTTAGCTGTTCAGCCAGTGCTTGTCGATGCTGGAACAGAATCTGCCTAAACAAAAACAAAACCACACAAATTCTCACCAATTTCAGTTCTTCCCTTCTGTATTCATTTTTAACTTCTCTAGTTTAATTATCTAGTTAAATAAATATTTTAAGGGACCTTTTAAATATGTTTCAGATACTCATAATTCTAAAAGGCCTGAATAAACTAATGTGCTAGAAAAAGATAGAAAAAAAACAATATAGCAGGGATATTCAAAGTATGCCTTTTGAGTGTAGAGGATCAAACAGAAGAGCCCTGATTTAAACAGGTTTCCTGTAAAGAAAGTCACAAAGCTAATAAAAAGTTGCCAGGCTTGATCAACTATGGGATTAGACAATTCTGCTACCTTATCAAGATGAGTCACAG